TGGTCGATCTCACCAGATGAGGACGGATGAAACTCGTTGTAATGCAGCCGGTTGGATTGTATAGGATATTTATGTTGACGCACTCCACGGGACTTCCTCCCTCGTTTCGGGTGAAAACGTGCTGAGATTTCGTCTATCATAGTTAGCCAAACCACTATATCCATCTAGGTTTTTAATTTTTAATTTTCCTTTGGCTTAACTGAGTCTATATAAGAGGTAAGATAATCTTCTTGGCCTAGTGTTAAGATTTGACTTTTACAAGAATGACACCAAGCTCTTACGATGTCCATCATATGATGGACGAAAGCTCAGCACGTTTTCACCCGAAACGAGGGAGGAAGTCACGTTGACAATCCTACTGGCTGCAGTACAACGAATTTCATCCGTCCTCATCTGGTGAGATCGACCAACGAATCTTTTCATGCACTTTCATACGAAATGACGGTCCCTCTAACAAACAATTAAGATATTAAAGTAGGGTTTCGAGACAATTAAACAATTAAGAGTCAATCACTTCTTGCATTATGCGTTCTTCAAACTTCTTCATGTAGTTATTCGCCAAAATTGGAGCTAAGCGAGAACTCATTGCAAGTCCTTGCATTTGTTTATAACACTTATCCTCAAAGGTGAAATATGAAACAAATGTATGTTAAGAAGCTATAATCAATTCCACTCTTTCTGTAATCTCTAAATGTTCCTTCAGGGTAGACATTAGAACTTGAATGGCCCCCTGAACTTGAATTTTTATGTGCATTGATAAAACGTCACTACTTACATATTTTGCTGGTCCGCTAGTTTATTAAATTCATTTGTTTTAACTTAAAATAATCACAATTCGGCCACTTCTTCACGTACATAAAAACGCTAAATTTTGTTCATTACATTACTTTTATTGTTTATAATCTATCTAATGGAAAACTTTTCATTTTGCCCATTTGGAAAGCCATATGCCGATGATGCCTTTGCATTGCTCTCAAGTGGAAGCACTAATTAGGCATAGCTTCATAGCATGGACGGGACATGATATAGAATGGTCTCGGACAGATGTTTGATGATTCTGATATGTCTGCTACGAAACGCATGTTAAATCGAAATTTATAGATTATGTAACAAGTTAAATGTGAGGAATGATGGTGAAAGTTGAGTACGAAATATTCACTTAAATATTGAAAGATTGAAGGAGAAATAGTGGTGAGCCGCCTTGCAAAAGAAGACGACTCAACTTGCCAGCTAAGTGATGCCTCTAACCAAATTCACATCTTTAACCTAATCTTTAATAGTCATTTTTGTCTTTGCCAAAGCTGGCTCTTAATATTAAGAATTTACTTTATTTTAAACAGGTTTCTGTCTTTAGTCTAAAGATTCTCCTAGTATGGTGATTTCTGTTAATTTCGTTGTTATATTTATTTTTTTAAATATTGCCGCTGGCATTTCCATTTAAATTAAGTTATTTATTATAGATCAGTTTTTAATGTGTCTAGGTTATTAGCTTGACCTTTAACATTCCACAGTGCATTTATATTAACGATTTTTACTTAAAAATTCGTATACATTTAATCATGAGCTGATTCTTATGTACAATATTTTCTTACAAGGAACAAATTCACTCAAATTCTAATAGTTGATACGTTAGAATGCAATATCTGACCATCTAATATCTTATGAAATATAGTGCCGTACTCAATAATTAACAACTAGAGTCATCCAACCTGTTTTTTATTTTGTGATGATAATTTTTATTCCTCAATTTATTAGTCTATAAATATTGCGTGAACTCATAATCTGTTGATAAATCTTAGTTTGCAAATGACACCTAAATTTAAATATCTTTATTATTTAACAGCTACTTCATACCTAGCCTGCAATGTTTTTTCACAATTTATTAAAAATGTAGCTACTACATTTACAGGGGAATTTTACATTTTTGTGTTAAAACTAATTAGTCAAACTCTCGCAGTCTAAAAATTCCATTCAATTTTTAACCCATCCACTTTATTATTTTTACATTTAGCTAGAAATTTTTCATCTACCCGATTCATTGTCTGATCACGACAAACACAAAAGTGGCTTCAATTCTTTATTATAATCCAAAGATTAAAGACATTTAACTTTTTATATGAGGTCTCTTCACTCTTACCTTTTTTCGCCTTTTTGAGAAACGCTACTATTGATAATCATTTTATTGATTTCAGCATGTCTCACCACATCAGATCTCAAATCTGGTCCACACTGATTCCGTTTCTCCAATCGATTCATCTCATACTAGCCTTGATTCATTTCATTCGGGGAATTTCACTACCTCAAGCCTCTCTCGGCAATCCCGCTCTTCCATTGAGCCAGATCATGGTGCCAATGATCTAGCATTAAATAATATTCAACATAGGTCTCTTCCTTTTAATGCTGCATCTGGGCCCACACCGCATTCGGCATCATCCGACACCCTTCTTTATCAAATGACCGGCCAGTATCTTGGGCGGACAGATGTCAGCGATCATCTTACTTCCGAAATAAACCCTAACGGAGGCTATAGCAACACGGATGACCAGTGTAGATCAGCCCGGGCTTTATTGGGTCTCACCTCTGTCGTTAAGTCGGACTGGTCCATTGAAGATTCTCCTGTCTCTCCTCAGACTAATCGGATTTCAAATGCCTGCTCTGGGCTATCAGTTGGATTGATGCGCCTCCGTTCCACATCAGCCGTCAATGGCAGTCTCGTCACTACTCCCTTGTCTCCTTCACCGAATGGTTGTCCGCATCCTAGCAGTCCTTCCTTACATACTACTTCCTGTACGGGAAGCCCTACCTTGGCTTATCCGTGCTCAGCTTCACCAAGCCACTTATCGACCTCTAGCAGCTCACATTTTGGTTTAAGTGATAGCTCTTCTCACTTGGTTCAGAATCAATACTCTCAGCAAGAAGTCATACAGAGTCATTCTAGCTCACACCCGGCTTCTGGATATTCCACCTGCATTTCGACCTCTGTCTCTACTTCAAGACTCAATCAACTCTCTCCCGCAGAGTCCCCTATCCTTCCCTCCATCCCAAACAGTCTTGTGGCAGCAGCAGCTGCTGCTGTGGCCTCTGCTGCTTCTGCTATGACGACTTCTTGCGCACCGACGCCCCAATCCCCACCTCCATTAGTTTCATTATCTTCACCAACAGCAGTAACTAATACAACTCCCACCTCTGTGGTGGCAGTATCTTCCCTCTCAGCCGGAATCCTTCTAACTTCAAGTCGACATGGTCTTCCAAATCCTGTTTATGAAGTTCCTCCCCATTCATCCAGTGGAAATTCACTTATCTCTTCTGTCCAGCAGTCACTATCACCCCTTTACCTATTTCCTGGTCATACTCAATCTGGTACACCTACTGGTCAGACTTTGTTTTCCAGCTGTCGGTCGGAAGAGACTCGACGAGATCGTTGCTTAAGCTCAACTTTACTATCGGCTGCTACAGCAACCTCTGTAATTGGATTGGGCTTGACTCCAACGTCAACAACTCTTTCCTCCTCTTCACCTACCGCATCGCCCTCCTCTGTATCCAATTCGCCTTCCGCATTCGCCTCACCAACCCTCCGTCTCGCCTCACCCAATCACTCACATCCTCAGCATTACCAACACCGACGACAGCTAACGCCCCATTCCACTGCTTGCCCTTCTGCACCCTGTTCGAATTCATCTCCACCATTGCTATCGACCTCTCCATCCCATTCGATTTCACCCCACTCACTTGCAATAGATCAGACACAACATCAAGCTCATACAAATCATTACCCCCCTCAGCCACAGCAGCAACTTCCTCAGCCAGCCCATACACCCAATATTCATCATCACAATCACAATCAGAACCATCATCATTTTCAACACCATCATAATCAGCAAGAACAACAACAACAACAGCTCTATCAATTGGCCTCTCTATACTCACAACAAGGCTCAACGTCACCTGGCTACCAAGCTCATCTCTCACACCACCAAAATCTAAATGGTTATCATTATCAGTCTGTAAGAGACAATCATCTTTCCACCAGCTCCGCTGCTTCTGCCCAGCCCTCTACTGTCTGGGACTGGTCAGCTACACTCAGATGATGTATGGCCTCCGAAAATGAGAAATCACACAACTCCTCGTCTTACTGCATACATCCACATTTACTATCCGTCCCGGCGCCAGTTTCTCAATGCCTCTACATTTGGTGAGTGCGCCTCCATCCGATAAATTGGCTGAACTCCAATACTTCATTCCATTTTCACATCACTTCTAAGTAAGGTATTATCTATTAGGCTTTAATTGATTAACTTTTCTGTACTTTTCATTCGCCCGTGTCTCTGAATTTTAAAACTCTTTTATCTTGACCTTTATGTTTAAGAATTTCTATGTACACATTTCGCCTTAAAACGTTTCTTCCTGGAATTTCTTTACTTTTGATTCGTTTCTTCGTTTAATCTCTTTGATCACACATGCTCATTCAATTCCTGACCACAT